CGTTGCAGTGTATGATAGCCTGGAAAAAAATATGCCGGGGGGGAAAGCTCAGCCCACTCGCATACTGTCTGCCCAAGGAGGGTAACATGTTCGTTCACCTTGCAGTGTGGCCTAGCGGCAGTGTGGATTTCTCCTGGTGAGTTGTTTTTACGGCTCAGCACCCCTCCACTGCTGTGAAACCATCTCTACAAGAGGTTACATGCGGCCTAATACACGCCTGTTAGTTTCTTTCGAATATTAATGCAGAGCTCGTGTCGCGAAAATTCCGCCGTCGGCACCGTTGGTTGTCAGGCAGAAATCGTCCGTGAGTGAAAAATCGAAAAAGAAGCAAATAAAATAAATAACGTTTTCGGTCCCATTGGGGATCGAACCCAGGATGTTTGCATGGCTAGCAGGTGTCCTACCATAAAGCCACAATGTTACTTGCAGCTGCGGGAAAAAACACTACATAAATGTCATGTAGTGGAAGGAGTCCCCTTAACGCATTTTGTTTGACAGGTGTCACGACGAAAACGAGCCTATTCGGCAATTCGTAGGCACATTTGGGAGGCCATTATACTACGTCGAAAAAGGCCGGGACAGTACAGCCATTGCCACTAAAAACACACAGGAACTTTCAAAGAGCTCTAAACATGGACAACTATGTCCATCTAGCAGAAAACATATCGTGCCTTTCCAGAGGCACTGATCAAGCAAACAGCAAACGCTAGATAATGTGCTGCCATCTGAGGCATTCTGAGACTCTTTATGCCCTTTCAAGGAAATGTCATTTCTGCAAATCACAACACTTGCATAGATTCAGCTTTTCATTCTCACGACACCATTAAAGAAGTGAAGTATTGCAGTTGCAGTTTCACCGACCATGAGACAATGCTTGTTGCGGCTGGCCGGAAGAGGTCTCCAGAAGAAACAGTCGAACCATTGCCACATAACCAACGCAACAAGGATGACAGAATGTGACCATTTACGAATACAAGTGCCACGCCAACGCGCAGTTCATAATACAGGACCATGTGACTATATCACTGTACAATATTTTCATGAAGTTGTTATAAAAGTGCTGTTAAATTGATCAAAAACCTGTACCATTACTATAAGTACGTCGCGTGTGTTCGTGTGCGTGTGTGCATTTGTGTGTGTGTCGGTGTAACGAAACATATTAGTAAGTATGCACTTAGCTGTTGAAGGGCACACTAGCGGCCATATTTCGCTATTGCGTTCAACTCTTAAAGGCGAAGCTTAAGTGTCCCCCAATTTTTCCAGAATTTTGAATTAATTGACTTCGAACCGAAGTGATTTTGAGTACTGTAATATTCATTCGATTATTATTCACACAATCCCAATCGTGGCAATTCGAAGTTTAGTAGTACAATGCATTGCCATATGTTTTTAATGCAAGGAGTTTTGGACAATTTTTTTATGTATAATTGACCCCAATTAGATCTTGTACTAATAACCTCAAAACTGACATTTTGGGGACAAAGCTCCTTAGGGTGTGGGTCTGTCCATCCTCCGTTGATGTATGTAGCCACTAGTGGCACATCCCTGTTCTAGAGCGGGTGTGCCACAGTGTATGTGATATGACGGTACTTGGGGTGTTCACTAGATGGATGCACGGACTGATGGATGGACGGATGGACAGGCAAACGGACAGACGGGATGGACGGGCAGAGCAGATATGTGCCAAAGGGGATGCGAGATGGCGGTACTTGAGTGTTCACTAGATGAACGGACGGACAGAATAAAAGGCGGACAGACATATGGACGCACGCGCAGACGGATGGACGTACTCACAGACGGACGCGTGAACGAACTGAAGCAAGAACGAACGGACGGACGGAAGCACGGACGGGCTGATAGACGCTTCGCCCCACTTACCATGATTCAATCCGTGGATATTCTGCGATATTTTTCAAAGAGTACTACAATGAGTCCTAAATTGACATAGTGGTTCACTTTCGCATCTCTTTCATTAAAGGGACCCCACAGCACGTTTTCAGCATCGTCATAAAATGCTTCAAATTGGTATTCCAGGCTTCCGAAAACCTGAGCCAAACATTTGAGCGCAGCAAGCGGCCTAGAACCTACAATGAATTGTCAAAGCCGGGAAAAAGTTCTCTGGTCTTTCTCCTAATTACGCCATATAAATGAATGACCACACCACATGCCCAAAAACAGTCATTGAACAATACGCGCGTCGTGAGCTGCATAGTGACCAAGGCTGCCGTGTGCTTGCGGTCGCACTGTTAGCAAGACGTGCATTCAAAGAAAAAAAATTAGGAAAAGGTATATAAGGTCATGATGTGCACCTGAAGCAACTTCCTTGCCCTATGACATGCCTCCCTGCTTAGCATCCAGCACGCTCGCATAGGTGAGAGGAGAGAAGAAAGCAATTCCATTGTGTGATAATCTCTCTTCGCTCGTACCTTATGGATTCTAAAAATGTTGCCTATGGATGATTCATGAGGCAATAAACTCCATTCGATGGTTACTTCAAGAATTGATGCAGGGCTCCTTCGCACGAGTGCGAGATTGGAGGTTGCAGCAGCCTTCAAAGCCCAAAGGTTAAGCTTGTATGACGGCAAATTTCAGTAATGATTGGCGTTTAACGTCCCAAAACCACCATACGATTGTTAGAGACGCCGTAATAGAAGGCTCCGAAAATTTCGACCACCTGCGGTTCTTTAATGTGCACTCAAATTTGAGCTCACGAACCTGCAGAATTTTCGCCTTCATAAAAAATGCGGCTGCCGTAGCCGGGATTTAATCCCGTGACCTGCGAATCAGCAGTCGAGTGCCTTAGCCATTAGACCATTATGGCGGGTTCATTGGTGAATTTATGTTCAAAGCAAACTCGAATAGCACACATCATATATTACAAAGAAACATGAACGTGTTTGTCAAGACTCAACTAACCTCTGCTGTGCGTGTGTGTTTTCCAATTAAAACAAGGTCTGTGCAAATCAAATGCCATACCCTTTTGTTCAAAGGAAGTGGAAACAACTTTGAATAGTACCTGGATTTGACTTTCGGTAATGTCCCCAGTAATAACCTGTAAAATACATTAAGTTTTAAAATTCACTATACATAGAGCACATAAGCCAGTATAGCAAGCTTTGAAATATTTTAAAAAATGATGAATTGGTGTTGGAGTAATATGTTCATTTAACCTTGAAGTGTGGATTCACGGCAGCGCAGACTTCCACAAAATAGGTGTTTTCATGGCTTAGAACTCTTTCACAGGAGTGAGACCACCTGTACAGGAGGTTACATGCAAATTGTATGCATTTAAAAGGTGCTTTGGCGGCTTAGCAACCATCCACTGCAGTGAAAGCACTTTTAGAGGGGGTCACACGTGGACTAATGACACTTATTTGTTCTTCTCGAATACAGTAATATTTGTCGTAATATTAGCATTGAATATAGTAAAAGATAGATTTGTGGGGTTTAACGTCCCAAAACCACCATATGATTATGAGAGACGCCATAGTGGAGGGCTCCGGAAATTTTGACCACCTGGGGTTCTTTAACGTGCACCCAAATCTGAGTACACGGGCCTACAACATTTCCGCCTCCATCGGAAATGCAGCCGCCGCAGCCGGGATTTGAACCCGCGACCTGCGGGTCAGCAGCCGAGTACCTTAGCCACTAGACCACCGCGGCGGGGCTGAATATAGTAATACTCGACGAATAAGTAATGTTAGTCTGAATAATCGAAGCATTCGAAGATTTCCGTAAGCCTATCAAAGATGTCAAAGTGCTTGCCCTATACTACATAACAGCACAAAAGGCACTAATGCAGTGCTTTGCTGTTACTACATCTGCGTTTTCATTTTGATGACTGTGCAGTAACTACTCGCACATAAGAAAACTCTATCATAACACGCGTTTGGGTGGCATCTTGTGCTTTGTCAAAGCCCGAAAGCTGGAAGAATTGAGTGCCAATGGCATTTGAGACACGTCAGCTTGTTTACTCTGGAGCCCAATTGCTGGCTTGAAGCGAGTAGAAGTACACTAAGTCTCGGCTCTGTGAATGGAAGTAAATTACTTGTTTTAATTATTGTCTCAGCTCTAAACCTCAAGATTCTGTTTTAAAAGTAATTTCCAATTAAAATGTGGTGTCTCAATTTCAGAGGCGCTGTAGACAATGCTTACTCTATTGCATGCTGTGTCAGCTGACCAAAACTCCATCATCATTGAGCTTATTTTTAATTCCAACTGCAGAAAGAAGGAAGTCGTTAAAGTATGGTGGTTGCGATATGTTTGGAACATTAAATTTAGAATCTGGCACTTTCAGCATGCAAAATCGGAGCCCTTCACGTGTGGCCGAGACTCGGGGGGGGGGGGGGGGAACTGCCACCTGGGACAATCGGGACACCATCCTCATTTTGTGCCACTTGTCGCCGTACTCGTATGAAGATTTCGCCAATTCAGTCACGCCTTGCAGCTCTACGCCTTCCCAAGTTATGCTTCTATTCACTCGACACCTGCCTTCCAGTCTCCCGCACCAAGGTATTACTATTTTTCTGTGGCACCTAGGTTTCTTCTTTTCAAACTGTATAGTGTGCGCTTGTCTCTTAGGCCTACCAGTCTAAAGCACTGCAACACACAGGTTGTCAAGTACCTATTTAAACTCTGCTACAACCTTAGTATGAAATATTTTAAGCCCTTTCCCATTCAACCACACTGTACAAACTGTATGTCATAATGAGTAAGTAAACTGATGCCATTTGCAAAAATAAAATGTCTTTATTATGGAAGAGTACCCAAGTTCATTTTCACAAAGTTGGTACCCGGTATGGTAGTATAGGAAGTAGCACACACATGAAATCAGACTGTGGAATCAAGCAGAAGACATATGACCTTGTCACTAATGCTTCAACGAATTTTACGATGCTTGTGAAATCAGATAGTCTTCATTTAGTCACAGAGGAGCCATTCACCTCTGCTGACCAGACTCGAAACAAGGAGCTGTGAGATGGAAGTTGCACAATATTATACTGGGGACATTGTAGTGCACATAACTGCCATTATTTAGGTCCCCAAAAAGATGTATAGTACTAATAATGAAGCATTTAATATTATGAAATCCCAATAACCCACGCTAAATGTAGTCCATCACATAGCCGATGAATTGAGGTGTCATGGTATGGCGGGGTTGCTCTTTGAGTAAAAAGGTCTGCACAGAAGGTCACCACGCTTCGTGCAAGTTCCGATACGGCAGTCCAGGAAGTAGCTCTAATGTATTCTGTCGAAAAAAACAAAAGACCAGTAGCATTGGCTTAACCGCAAGTTTCTCCATGTTGAAACATGAGGTAATTCATGAACAGTGCAGTCGAAAGTAGCAAACCAGCCACGTTACACACTGGGAGCCATTCCTGCATTTTGAGATAAGTGGTAGCACTTCACGCTAATGAAAACTGCTCACAAAGGTCACACTTTCAGTCGTTTGCAAGATTAATTCCTCAAAGCACTCCTTAGCTTTACCTAGTCGCTTTGTCCAAGACATAGTGCACAGCAGCTGTGAGTAGGGAGGATTTTGGGTGAGCGGGTCCCATGCTTCTTCTGCAGCACTGGGTTTTTCCGAACTTCAGCTTCACCAGCCAATAGAAGAAGTCAGTCAACAGAGCCTTGCATTAACTTCAGCTCGCTTGTTCATAATCATAGCAGAAAACAGTGCAACACAACAACGACAAGAAAGACCTAACTGGACCAGCACTAACTGCTTAACGATGTGTTCCGTTCGTACAGCAAAAAAAGTGCACCTGTTGCCAGTCAGCACCGGTCCCGTTTGGTCTCCACTGTAGTGCACTGCTTCCGATACAAGCTTTGCTTGAAAAATAGTTTATAAATCAAATTTCATTCAGCGTGCAATACCGCCCCACAATGACACTCTTGTAGCACCACATGGCAAGGTTTACATGCCCCTGTGACCATTTGAAGCATATTTAGCAGTTCTGAACGAAAACGGAGAGCTGCTCCTTCTGGGGCAACTTCACAATGCATGCTTTTATGGGATTCTGAAACGGTCTTGACGATGTACACATTGGGTTGGTAGAGCACGTCCTAAGTATCGTTTCCAGACCGAATAAGGCTCTCTGCATAAACTAACTTATTGTGTAATTTATTACAATGCTTTAAAGCTGTTAACTGCTGCAAGTCACAGTGGCTCCGCCAAATGCTGTTTTATTAACTGCCCACTTCCAGTACACGTGACATCACGCACGCGGCTGATGTGATTGGATGTGCAACGCCCGTCACAGACAATTTTTTATTGGACATAACTGCAAACAAATGCTCGTAATCTTTGAAAGTTTATAATTTGTTTTCGTTAAATATCAGTAACAAATAAAGCAAACACAGTCACAATTTACAACTAGACTTCAGGACCTCCGGCGCACGGCAAACGTGGTCCATGTGTTTGCACTCTCAGGTGTAATATGGTGGCTCCATTTGTAGTCGGATACAACTTAAGTCCGCAGAGGCCCCGCCCAGACGACAGAAGCACCACAGCTGATCAGTGATAACCTCCGCGAGTAATGGAATCATTCCGCGCTCTGCACTCGGCAATGTTCTCTAAAGGCGGGGTCACCGGCCGTGCGACTCGCGTCAGTCTGGAGTGCATGCCCATTGGCGCAGGTTTCTATGCATTTGCCTTTGAAGAGGGAAATGCCGCCGACTTCTAAAGCTGTACCAGAATTGAGTCAACCAGCCTAGAAACGCTGCTATCCAAGCACAATAAGTTGCATAAATAGCCATTGTATTTTTATTTAAAAATATTCAACGCAAACAAACAATATTTGCACATTCATAATTGTGCAACTCATTCTTTAGGATTGATATAGGGAGTATTCTAAGCATGATATACAGAGCTAATTTTGGCACCTCTTTAAAGTAATGTAATGGCCACAATTACAATGTTCCAAGCTGGCATTTCTGTGGACAACGGTCTCAAGGCCCAGGTTTTGTCTCTAGAGTTAGCCGATCACTATGCTATCAGCCGAGCCACGAGTACAGCGTGTGACCTACGGGTGGCTACTGCGCTGGCTTCAACTTGCCGGAACTAGACAACACGTTGTCGCACCAGCGCTCTCGCATGTCACATCGCGACGCATAGCCCCTGGATGGCGGAGCTAAGCCTCGCATACTCAAAGGCATAGTTGAGGATGAAAGGCAGTGTAGAGGAGGCTCACTATTTACCATTTGTAGCTCCCTTAATGTCGATAGTAATAGCACGAGAACAGAACGACGCAGAGACAAGACACGAAGGACACTTGTCTCTGCGTCGTCGTTCTCTTCTCGCGCTATCACTATCCTCATGTCGTATCAACTAGCCCAAGCTTCCACACTTCTAAGTCCCTTATTGTGTTTAGAGCGATTTATAGTGTCAATGATTTGCTCCAGTAATGATCTTAGCAAAAAGGTAGTGTCGAAAATCTATTTCAGAAACCCACGAAAGGACCAGTAAAGAGGCTCCGATTATTTTATTTTTTTTTTATGTTCTCCGAACAAGCTCGCCAATGCATACAGTGGACCACAACGATCACATTTTCCGAATATTACAGCTGCGTGCCGCGCGAATCCTCCATTTCAATTCCTGCATTCGGCCAATCACCCTAGTACTCGCAGCGATGCCAACATGCCCAGGCACAACTACACGAACCGCTCAGCTCGTCGATTGATTCTTTGCCCTACAGCCCTGGCAGTGATGCAGTTTAGGCCGCCCAGTCCGGATTTCACAGAGACTACCCAAAGAAGCGGTATTGCCAGAACAAAGACCTCTGAGGTCTTGACACTAGACTGTGAATATAACAATATCCCTTGTCGAGTTCGTTAATCTCTTGCAAGTATACTTCTTGCGTTACCTTAATTCAATAGTCTTCGATTTTTGTCAAAGCTAAGTTGAATTTCCGACACCCTGTTTACAAACTGTTGCCGTTGTGATAGCGCTCCTCGGATCCAATGTACGGCGATGGTAGAATCGGTCCAGAAGGTCACGTTTATAGTCTGTAGAAATGACTTGAGGGTCTTAATAAGGAACGTCGCCAGTCTAGTTGCAAGCACCGCACCAAGGAGTTCGAGTCTGGGTAGCGTAACCGTCTGTAAAGGTGCAACTCTCGACTCGGCCATGAGAAGGGCCGTAGCGATGTCTTTTTTTCTGTCCAACATATTTCAAATAAGTGCAGGCTCCATAAGCTTCCTGATTGGCGTCACAAAATAGGTGTAGTTGTGCAGTTTCATCTCCTGTCAAAGCATCCACCCATCGGTTGATGGCCGTCTCATGAATATAGTTTCATCTCCTGTCAAAGCATCCACCCAACGGTTGATGGCCGTCTCATGAATATGTGGTAATTCAGAGCACCAGTTACTCCATTGTATATCAAGATCTTCTGGTAGCTCATTAACCAAACAACTTTCCTTTTCCACAGCTCTTGAAAAAGTAACAGAATAGAAAGTTGGGCGAGTTGGTGTATATTCATATTAAAAGAAAAGCGGTGCACAAAAAGACGGAGACAAAGAAGAGACCCACACAGCAGCGCTGTGTGTGGTTCTCTTCTTTGTCTCCGTCTTTTTGTGCGCCGCTTTTCTTTTAATCTTGAAAAAGTATCTTAGCTTGGATCATGAAAGGTGCTATTACCCCCATAGGCTCGAACATCCTTGATACCGACTGTAACACAGACCTCTTCCATGGCTTTCTTTCTGTCTGCAAATATCCAAGCGCTGACTTTGAAGCAACTTTCATAACGTCTGTGGACGGGTTATATATAAGGCCTAGCACTTTGACGGAGCCCGAAAAATTGTCAGGTTCTTCGGTCTCGGAAAACAGTTGACGTAGAGCCGTCTAGTTTGACACCCATTTCCTTAGGCGCATACCTGCAGACTCCATCAAGAAGTTGCCTTCTCTGTAGATTTGTTGCGCTTCTTTCTCCGTTCTAGTTCCGATGAGAAAATCGTCTACGTAGAAAGATTCAGTTACTCTCTTGGCTGTGGACTGTACTTTGCCCTTTACATACATCAGGTGTTGTCGCAAAGTGACATTTAAAAGAAAGGGACTCGCTGCAGTCCCGAAGAGAACTCTGGTCATCCTCCATTCTTCTATTTCTGGACTTTCTGTAGTTGGAATGTCTTTGAACCAGAGAAACAGCAAAGCGTCTCGGTCTTCTTTTCTCATGCTGATCTGTAGAAAGGCTTTTTCTATATTGGCCATTGAAACGATCGGATTCACCCTGAACCATATGAGAAGAGCCACCATGTCAGTCAGCAGATTGGGACCTTTTTCTAAGCAGTCGTTCAGTGAAGAATATTCAGGTCAATGTGCTGACGCATCGAAGACTACACATATTCTTGTAATCGTAGATTCACTTCGTACGACGGCATGATGTTGCATACAATAAATCCTAGATGATACCTAGTAACTTTCGTCAGATTCGGTGGACGCCCGTTCAGCGTGTCCCATCTTCATATAATCGGTTATAGTCGAAGCATATTCCACTGCGAAATCTCGATTTCGCTTCATTTTCTTTCCGAGTGATAACAAGCTCTTTGAAGCTTCCGCTCGATTACTGTCAAGTTTTGTGCTTTCGTCTTTCCATGGGAGACTGACCTCATAGCGACCATCTGCAAATGAGAGTCTTCTCTTCCAGGACTGATGCATTGCATTTGGCTAAGCTGTCATCGTCTGGGAGAATTTCAATGCTCTCAAGTTCCCAGAACATTTGTAGAACCTTGTCAGCCGTTTCAGTCGAAGTGTTCACACGTAGTACGCTGACTGGGCTGGCTAAGTTGACCGATGTACTCAAAAAAAGTGGTCCTTGGAACATCCATCCAAAGGTAGAACCGAGAGAGACCAAGTCGCTGTTAGCAGAGTAACGCTGAATCTCTCCAGTCATAAACTTCCACAAGTGATCCACTCAAAGTAAGAAACTTACTCCAGGTACAGCAGCCATTCTAGGTGAAAATAGCTCGTCAGCAATCGGGCACCCACTGTCTTTTATCTCCCTTATGAATTCATAATTCACTGGTACCTGAACTACGTCGTTGCAAACGAATGGAATTTCTAGAGCTTGGATGAAGTGCTCCAAATTGTCATACTGCCTACGCATATGAAGTTCTACGACGCGGTGCAGCCTTGAAAGGGATCTTGCCTGTCCAAAGATGTTGAGACTCGGGCTAATTTTACCCAGCTCTTTCAACCCGAGAATCTTAGAAACATCACGTATAAATGTGCGTTGGCTGCCACTGTCTGCTATGCCACGGATGAAGGCGCACTTGGTGTGCCCTCTGACCCACAATCGAAAGGTTTGCAGCGAAACTTCTGTACCTATACTTGTGTTGCTTGTAAGTTCAGCCTTCTTGGGCTTCCATGTCAGGTCACTCATTGACGAGGCATGTCTTCCTTTGCACTTTCCGCATTGGATTTTTCGGCGGCAGGTTTTGGCGCGGTGACCTTCTATGATGCAACGAAAGCAGCACTTTTCGGCCGTGAGCTTCTTCAGCTTCGCCTCCTTGCTTATATTGCCGGTACACTCTTCAGTAATGTGGTTCTATGAACTGCAAAAGATGCACACCTTGTTATCTATTTTCGAGGACGCGCATAGAGCTGCTGCTGCCGGTGGCTGAAACGAGGAAACATTTTTCACTCTATGTTGGGCGTATCTCTTTTCTATACTTACATTGCTTCTGCTTCGCTCATGACTTTCTACTT